GAGGCTATTAGGAATGGTGGGAGTTGAAGTCCAAAACACCTGGAAGGAAAGACCTGACATGATTTGGCATGGGCAAAGTTGGACCTTCCTCCAGATGTTTTGGTCATCAACTCCCACTATTCCTAACAGCTTCAGGCCCCTTCCTTTTCCCCCGCAGCTGCTGTTAGGCAAGGGCCTGAGGCTGTTAGGAATGGTGGGAGTTGAAGTCCAAAACACCTGGAACTTGGAAGGTCCCTAAAACTTAGGGAAGCCCTAAAATGATTTGGAATGGGTGTTTTGGTCATCAACTCCCACCATTCTTAACAGCTTCAGGCCCCTTCCATCACACCGCAATGAGTCGCCCTTAAAGGGCTGAGAATTGCGGTATATAAGCACAGTAAATAAATAAATAATAAATAAATCTCCCCCTCAGCTGCTGTTAGGCAAGGGCCTGAGGCTGTTAGGAATGGTGGGAATTGAAGTCCAAAACACCTGGAAGGAAAGCCCTAAAATGATTTGGCATGGGCAACGTTGGACCTTCCTCCAGGTGTTTTGGTCATCAACTCGCCCTATTCCTAACAGCTTCAGGCCCCTTCCTTTCCCCCCTCAGCCGCTGTTAGGAAAGGGCCTGAGGCTGTTAGGAATTGTGGGAGTTGAAGTTCTGGCCCAACTTTGCCCAGGCCTGGCCTGCATGCTTCCAAGTGCCTAGCAATGTGATGTTCACCTCCTGGATGCGCTTGCGGGCCCGGGCCAGCACCTCCTCGTAGCCCTTCTGCCGCAGCTCGCTCAGGCTCTGGTAGTACTCCTCGGGGTCGTCGGTCTCGGCGAAGAGCACCTGGGAGAGGATCTTCCACCCGCAGGTGTCGAGCCCGTGGCCCAGGTAGACCTGCAGCTGGGCGCAGAGGGCGTCCATCTCGGCCTGGCTCAGCTCGGGCGCCCCGAAGAGCACGGCCCACATCCCGGAGGGCTCCTCGGGCAGCGCGGGCAGGCAGGGCTCCAGCTCGGAGCAGACCGAGCACAGCTGCTGATGCGCGGCCCGCAGGTCCTGGAAGGAGAACAGCCCGGCCCAGCTGCACTCCTCTCCGGGCGAAGAAGAAGGAGAAGGAGAAGCAGCAGCCGCGTCCTGGCCCAGCTCCAGCACTTCCATCTCGCCCAGCGGGGACTCCGGAGGCGGCCTGCGGGATGGGATGCTCCTGGCCCGGGGCGCCTCGGCTCCGCGCCCCCCGGGGCTGCCTTGGGCCCGCGCGGGGGAGGCCGGGGTGCTCCTGCGGGCCGCCTTGGCCGACTCCCGGGACCCGCTGCGCTGCCGCTGCGCCGTCCGGTTGTGGCAGGTGATGGCGAAGCGGCCCTCGACCTCGTTCCAGGCCACGATGAAGGCGAACTTGTGCCGCTCGCGCTCCTGGAAGGCCTGCGGGCGCACCGCCACCCAGTCCGCCTCCAGCGTCTCCTCCAAGGCGAAGGAGCTCATGGCGGCGGAAGGAGCGGGGCCTCCTTCCCCTCACAGCAGCAGCAGCGGGAGCAGGAGGAGGCCGCCCTCGGCCATTTCAGCCGCCGGGAAGGAGGAGGAGGAGGAGGAGGAGGAGGAGGAGGAGGAGGGAAACCGCGCACAGTCAGCCAAGTCAGTCAGGAACACAAAGGGGGAAAAGCAAAGGTCTGAGGAGTCCGGAAGGAAGGAAAAGGGGGACAAGCTGAGGTCTGGAGCCTGAAAAGTCAGTCAGGAAAGAAGGAAAACAAGGGGGAAAGACCAGGCCTCGAGCCTGAGGAGTCAGACAGTCTATTTACTTAGGAAGGAAGGAAGGAAGAGAAGAGCCTGAGGAGTCAGTTCTTTCAGTCAGGAAGGAAGAGAAGGGGGGAAAGCACAGGCCTGAAGCCTGTCAGGAAGGAAGGAAGAGAAGGTGGGGGGAAAGCACAGGCCCGAAGCCTGACAGTCAGTCAGGAAGGAAGGAAGGAAGGGAAAGAAGGGAAGGAGAAAAAGCACAGGCCCGAAGCCTGTCAGGAAGGAAGGAAGGAAGAGGGGAAAGCACAGGCCTGAAGCCTGTCAGGAAGGAAGGAAGAGAGGGAGGAGAAGGAGGAAAAGCACAGGCCTGAAGCCTGTCAGTCAGTCAGGAAGGAAGGAAGGAAGAGAAAGGGGGGAAAGCACAGGCCCGAAGCCTGACAGTCAGTCAGTCAGGAAGGAAGGAAAAGGGAAGGGGGGAAAGCACAGGCCCAGAGCCAATCAGTCAGGAAGGAAGGAAGGAAGGAAGAGAAGGGGGAAAAGCACAGGCCTGAAGTCTGAGAAGTCAGTCAGGAAAACAAGGAGGAAAGCACAGGCCCGAAAGCCTGAGAAGCCCGTCAGTCTATTCAGTCAGGAAGGTAGAGAAGGGAGAAAAGCTGAGGCCGGAGAAGCCAGTCAGTCCTTTCAGTCAGGAAGGAAGAGAAGGGGGGAAAGCACAGGCCCGAGAAGCCAGTCTGTCAGTCAGAAAAGCAGCAGCAAGGTCTTCTCTTTCTCCTCTTGCTTCTTTCTTTTCTCCTCAGCAACGTCTCCTCTTTTCCCTCCTACTTCTCCTCACTCCGCTCGTCCGTCCTTGTTGTCAAGGATGGATGGATGGATAGAGGTGGAGGGATGGCGCCGCCGCCGTCCTCCTCCTCGTCCTCTTTCTCCTGCTCCGCCGTCGCCTCCCGGCCTGCTTTGTTTGCTTGCGCGGGGCTCCCTCCTCGGCTCGGCCCGGCCGCCTTCCGAAGCGGAGGCAGCTCTCGGCGGGTCACGTGGAGGCCGCGGATTTGTTGACAGGCCGCCGCCGCGGCGATGCTGATGATGATGCCGATGATGAGGAGGCGATGAGGCAAGTGGCGCCGCCGCCGCCCCGCCTCCGGGACGCCTCTCTCTCTCTCTCTCCCTGAGTGTGTGTGTGTGTTGCTGAGGCCCTAACAGGAGGAGGAGGAGGCCTTCCCTCTCGGGCTCCTCTGGCGCAGGCCCAGGCTCCTCCTCCTCCTCTTCTCCAGGCCCGGGGCTGTGAGGGAGATGGAGAAGAAGGGAAAAGCAAGGCGCCCTTCCCGCTCCTCCTGTTTCTCCGACCGGTTCGCCTTCTTTCTCCAGATCCACAAGGTCTTCAGCCTTCTCTGCCAAAGACAGCTCACCAAACTACAACTCCCACAATCTCACAGCAACCACTTTTCATGGGAGCACACTATATGAATTGTACACCCTCAGTCCAAGAATTTGCAAGAGGTGAGTGGAGGAGACCCAGGGTGACTTCAAGTGCAGATTTGGCAAGTTTGGCACCACTTTATTTATTTGAGATATTTATACCCTGCCTTTCCCCACTTAAGGGCCCAAAGCAGATCACGGCAGATGGCACATCTATATAAATAAAAATGCAATGTTCGTTTGTGGGATTAACATAACTCAAAAATCACTGGACAAAATCTGGCCACAAGACACCTACTAACCCAAGGAGTGGCCATCACTCAAAAAATTAGGTTCTTGTGGGTTTTTTCGGGCTATAGGGCCATGTTCTAGAGGCATTTCTCCTGATGTTTCGCCTGCATCAATGGCAAGCATCCTCAGAGGTAGTGAGGTGACCTCACTACCTCTGAGGATGCTTGCCATAGATGCAGGCGAAACGTCAGGAGAAATGCCTCTAGAACATGGCCCTATAGCCCGAAAAAACCCACAAGAACCTAGTGATTCCAGCCATGAAAGCCTTCGACAATACACTCAAAAAATTGATTTTGTCATTTGGGAGTTGTAGTTGCTGGGATTTATAGTTTACATACAATCAAAGAGAATTCTGACCACCAATGATGGAATTGAACCAAACGTGGCACACAGGACTCCCATGATCAACAGAAAACTCTGGAAGGGGTTGGTGGGCATTGACCTTTAGTTTGAGAGTTGTAGTTCACCTACATCCAGAGAGCACTGTGGACTCAAACAATGATGGATCGGGACCAAACTTAGCATGAATATTTCATATGTCCAAATATGAACACAGATGGCATTTGAGGAAAATAGACCTTGACATTTGGGAGTTGTAGTTACTGGGATGTACAGTTCACCTACAATCAAAGAGCATGCTGAACCCCATCAATGATAGAGCCCCCATACTTAAGGCCATCCAGTCCAACTCCCTTCACCAGGGCAAGAAAACGTAATCAAAGCCCTCTTGACAAAGAGCCATCAAGCCATAGATATAGATAGATATATGTGATTCACTCACACACAGATAGAGTATCATAGATTTGAAAGGGACCCTAAAGAAGAACAATTATATGTTGCATGTTCCAGAGTAGACAAACCAGGCAATCCCCACATCAAAACGGACAAAGAAGCAGCAAGAAATACTGTTTACCCACAAACATAAATTACATATATTAGAAACCAACACTTTCTCATTTTATTTTCCAGATCACCATGCTGGGGCCACAGCAATGCGTGGCAGGGGACAGCTAGTGTATAATAAAAGTTAAAACATTTAAGATCAAATACTAGTATTTGCTGTCACACGTCCTAAAACATACATTCAACTATAATAAAATATTAAAACTTTAAAACCACTTGCTAATTGCTATGGGTAATCCTATGGAGTCCTGTGGATTGTAGTTTTGTGAGGCACCTACACTCTGGAGACAAGGCTAAAGCCTTGTAAAACTACATCTCTCATTATTCTGTAGCATTAATCCATGCAGTTAAAGGGATGTCAAACTGCATACAGTGTAGATCAGAGACAAGCAAACTTCGGCCTTCCAGGTGTTAGGAATTATGGGAGTTGGAAGTCCAAAACATCTTTGCCCATGCCTGGTGTTGATGTATCCAAGCATTGCAAATTTAGAACCGTGACTTATTTGATTGGGGGCCCTTCCACACAGCCCTCATTCAACAATTTGGTCAGTTCTGGGATAGCACGGGTTGCAAGTTCTGCATCGTCTTGGTAATTTATTAGATTAACCACAGCCCTATATCCTAGAACAGTAGTTCTCAACCTGTTGGGTCCCCAGGTGTTTTGGCCTACAACTCCCAGAAATCCCAGTCAGTTTACCAGCTGTTAGGATTTCTGGGAGTTGAAGGCCAAAACATCTGGGGACCCACAGGTTGAGAACCACTGTCCTAGAATATCAAGGAAGAAAATCCCACATTATCTGAGTGTGGACTCAGATAACCCAGTTCAAAACAGATATTGTGGGATTTTCTGCCTTGATATTCTGGGATATAGGGCTGTGTGGAAGGGCCCTAAATTACCTGAGGGCCCTTCCACACAGCCATATAACCCAGAATATCAAGGCAGATAATCCACAATATCTGCTTTGAATTGGATTATCTAAATTCACACTGTCTTATAATCAAGTTCAATGTGGATGTTATACAGCTGTGTGGAAGGCGCCAAAGTGGTGTCAAACTGCATTAATTCCATTGTGTAGATGCACCATGCATCATGTAGATGCACCATGCATCATGTAACATGGTCTTCCTCTTTTCCTTCTGCCTTACCAATTATAACTCTATTTTCTAGAGTGTCCTGTCTTCTCATAATACAGCCAAAGTCTGTTTCATCATCTTGGTTTCCAAGGAGAGTTCACACATATACCCACTTAAAAAATCCAAAGTGCTCCAAATTAATGTTGTTTATAATTGTCCATATGGATACCTGAGATAGTGACACTTTTGCTTTCTGTTCATTCAATGTACACACACTTTTTTCATGCACAACATTATTTAAAATATGATGTATAAAATTACTTTTGAGCTATGTGAATACAGTGTGTATGGAACATAAATGTATTTCATGTTTAGACTCGAGGCTAATTTCTTGGATAACCCTTTATGCATGCATATGCAAATATTCTTTAAAAATCAGAAATGCAAAACAATTCTGGCCTCTAGCATTTCAGATCAGAGATGCTCAGCCTTTACAAATATTGCTGTTTCTATTCAAGTCAGGCAGGATGCACAGATTCGTAGCCAAGGACTACAATACCTTACCATCCCTGAAGTTATATGGCATACTTCACCATATTTTCCCCAAACTGCTACTATGCCTGCTGAAAGAAAGAGGTCATAGCTATTGAGGATGTGAGGTGGAGGGCAAATGATTGTCAGGTTTCCTGTCACCTGAATATATTTACCTAGTAAAGTGACTTCTTACCCCACTTAGAAACCAAAGTTGCATAAACATGTTAATTAATACTCTCCAGCTATCCCAATTAATCCTTTGTCATCCCATCTTCTCAGTTGCTTTTAAAATGCCCAGGCTTACTTTACTTGCTGCAAAATAGCTCATAGTACAAACATAGTTTGCACCCAGCAAAGAGAAGAGGACAGATATTGACCTTCCCAGGAACAAGCAAACTGTCATAGCCTCTCCTAAGCTTGTCTGTTCCACCTTTAGGCTATAATAACTTTTGATATAATAACCCTCAATAACTTTTGATATTTTGATGTTACTTGGCCCTGTGTGTCCCGGTTTTGATCTGAGAAATGTTGGAAGGTATGTTAGTGTGTGTGTGTGTGTGTTGTTTGCCTTCATATCCTTCCCAAATAATGGTGATCCTATGA